TACTTATTTCCTTTGAGTATGACTTAATTTTCCAACTAGTTTTAAGCCCCTGGAGGATGAAGTCTATGTCAGATCATCTGTGTGCATTTCTTGTGAGAGCATAAGGCTGGGCACAAAAGCTCTCAAAAAACACCCAGTATATTGAACACCTTTCGCTTAGGTTTCAGAATAGCCCTGAAATTTGGGTATATCATGTTTGTGTGTGTTACAGATGGCACAGCTGGAGACTTAAAAAGGGAAAGCTTTTTCCATTGTCCTTCTAATGGACTGAACTACATTTTTCTCTATTCAATAAATATTTGTTGAATACCAGTTACATGCAAAGCCATTTACTTGGGCCTCTGGTGAATACAAAGATGGATCCCAACTGGATCTTGCTCTCAAGTTGCTCCCATTCTAATAGGGGAGATAGAGCCACCAAAACAAAGAGCCCTGATTCAAAGTACAAGACAATTAATGCCTTAAGAGCCATAGAAAGGAACTTGGAGCATCTTAGGCTTCCTAACAGATATGGCACTTAAGCTGAGTCTTGATGGATGATGCAAATTTGGGCATGTGGGAATAGGGTAAATGGCATCTGGGAAAGAGATGATTCATTGTAAGACATGTACAGGGAACAACAAATAATACTGTTTGTTGGGACTGTAGGATATGTGAAGAGAGGAATAGTGGAAAGATAGATCAGAAAGACCATTTGAAGCCAAATAGAGGAGGATAGTGAATTCCAGGTTAAAAGTGTGTGCGTTTATTTTACAGGCAACAGGGAGCTAAATCTAAATCCAAATCTAACTCTAAATCTATCTATCGTCTATCGAGAGATTTTTTTCAAGCTAGTTAAGTACATGATGAGAACTGACTTCCAGAGTCAAAATCAGCATATAAAAGTCAGCAGGAAGAGATATAGGTCTATAGACTATATCATGGACCCATTGATCTGGAAAACAGTCCAAGTCTACATTGTACAGGTAGGGAAGTGATCTGCTCAAGGTCACACAGCAAGTTAGTTTTAGTCTTAAGACTGGAACTAGGTCTCTTGACTCCCAGTTATGTTACTCTTCTATCCCTGCCTCCTCAGTTTGACATTGTGGCAAATTAGAGGCAGGAGAGAACAAGATTGGGGTCTTTCAACCAAGAAAGCCCTTTGCTGCTACTTCAAAGTTTGACTTGTAATGAATCATCAAGTTGGAGCTCCCAAGAAAGAGCCTAGGAACACACAAGGCTAGTGATGTTTGTTTTGCAAGGCCTTGGGTTGATGTCCATTTGGATGTGGCTGTAACTTGGGAAGGAAGGGGGTTCATATTTCAGGGAGTGTCATCTAGTTCTCTCATCAAGGGAAGTGGTAGCCCTAGGATGGACACAGCTTCAGGTAGAAATATTTTCTGGCTCTGACTGTAGCATATGCTTCCTGTCCAATACTCCCTCCAGTAACCAGTAGAAATGGAACAGCATTGTCAGCTCTTGTAATCTGTGATCTGCAGTGAGCACAGTGGTTCTCAACTCTGGCTACGCATTGTATCACCTTGGAAGCTTTTAAAAATACCCATACCCAGCTACTGCCCCATTCAATCAAACTAGGATCTATGGGGATAGGGCCCAGGTTCTGTACGACTTGAATGTTCCCAATGTGTACCCAGGGTTGAAAACCACCGGTACTTGGGACTACATGGGATTCGGAAATCAGATGGACCTGAATCTATTGCCAATTAACTGTGAGGTTAATTCTCATCTCTGCATCTCTGTTTCCTCAACTATAGAACAGGGATAACACTTTCTACCTTGCAGAGTTATGGCCAATGTTAAATGAGAATATATGCATAAAGTACTGAGTATAGTATCACAGTACCTGGAACAGAGCAGGTATTCAATAAAAAGGTAGCTGAAATTTTTTACCAGTTACTTTATTACCATTATTATTATCATTTATAATTTTTTTATATTACTACTAATAACAACAAAACAGCAGACACTGGGAAGAACAGTGGATGCAGAAATGGGAGATATGGGTTTCAATCCTCACTCTACCACTTACCTAACTATGTGGTTGTGGGTGAGTCAGTTCACCTTTCTGAACCTCGGTTTCCTTTTATGTAAAATGGAGAAGATAAAACCCATCTATTCTTTCCTCCCAAACTTATTGTAAACATCAAATAGTTATCTGGGAGAGTGCTTTGAATGGTATAAAGTATGTTAGAAAAATCAGATTATTATAATAATTTTGGTCTTTTTTTCAGCTGCAATTCTGTGTTCCCAGCCTGGTGCTAAGGGGAATGGCATGTCTAGAAATATAAGATATAGTCTAGATGGGGAGATGGAATTTATATGTGTGTACATGGATAGTACTTGGTTTATTCCTCCATTAGAACACCAATCACAATGTATTATCATTATCTCTTTTCATATCTGTCTTCCTCACCAGAATGGCTAGCTGGAGGAATTAAAAAAACCCATCAACAATATATAAGCAATTCATGAGCATTTACATGGATGGAAATTACCTGTGCCAGCTGGGGTGTTCAGAAGGATGAGATTTGAGCTGAGTGTTGAGGGATGGTTACAATACAGATAAGGCATGAGAACAGAGGCATATATCAGGCAAGAAGCAGGACAGAGTCTAACACTTATTTACCCCTGCTGTATGCTAGGCACTCTCTATAGGCCATCTAATTTAGTCCTTACAACTACCTTGTGAGGAATGGTTATTATATCCATTACCCAGATGAAGAATTTCATAGTCAAAGAGGTGAAATAACTGCCCAGGGTCCCACAGCTTGGAAGTAACAGAACAAGGCCTCAAAACCAGGTCTACCCAACTCCAGACTCTCTGTACTCTCCACTATGCCATGCTGTCTCACCTAGAAATAAGAATCAAGGGCTTGCTTTGATAGGGGAGAGGGGAGACCAATTTGACTAGAGTAGAGCTGGTAATTAAAGTCCAGAGTTAGTGTCTGGGATGATAATTTGGGACCACCTCACAGAGGGCCTTGAATTTATGTTTAGGAGTTTGAACTTTATCCTGTACATTTTATAGCCACTGGAAAGATCTTTAAGGAGAAGAAAAACTGTAAAAATACTTAGGGTAAATATTACAACAGTATTATATGGATTAAAGTTAATATTTTTAACATTTACCTTAAAAATTTTGTAGAAGAAAACTTAATGAATATCAAGATTTGCTAACAAAAATTGAATGACTATCAAGATCTAACACCCTTGCATAGTTGCACATAAGTCTGTTTCCTTATGGTGCTCATCAGGCCATGAGAACTTTTGGTGGACTTTTTTTTATTTATTTATTGATGTTTTAATAGTTTTTAACATTGTGAAATTTGGGGTTGTACATTTTTGTTTGTCCATCACCATATATATGGCTCCCTTCACCCCTTGTGCCCACCCTCCACCACCATTGCCCCTGGTAACCACAATACAGTTTTCTCTGTCCATGTGTTGGTTTATATTCCACATATGAGTGACATCATACAGTGTTTGTCTTTCTACTTCTGGCTTACTTCACTTAACATTATACCCTCCAGGCCCATCCATGTTGTTGCAAATGGGACCATGTTGTCTTTTTTTATGGCTGAGTAGTATTCCATTGCATATATATACCACATTTTCTTGATCCACTCGTCAGTCGAGGGACACTTAGGTTGCTTCCACTTCTTGGCTATGGTGAATAATGCTGCAATGAACATAGGAGTGCATAAGCCTCTTTGGATTGTTGATTTCAAGTTCATTGGATAGATTCCCAGTAGTGGGATGGCTGGATCATTGGGCATCTCTATTTTTAATTCTTTGAGGAATCTCCATACCATTTTCCATAGAGGCTGCACCAGTTTGCATTCCCACCAGCTGTGTATGAGGGTTCCTGTTTCTCCACATCCTCTCCAACATTTGTTGTTTTTTGTCTTGGTGATTATAGCCATTCTAACGGGCATGAGGTGATATCTTAGTGTTGTTTTGATTTGAATTTCCCTGATGATTAATGATGTTGAACATCTTTTCACGTGCCTATTGGCCATCTGTATATCTTCTTTGGAGAAGTGTCTGTTCATTATGGTGGACTTTATTTCACTTGACATTATTTTATATGCATATGTTTTTTTGACCTGGCCCAAATCCTTGTCAGTTCATACATAATATGTATTGGTTAAATGCTTATAAGAATTGAATCGTTTGCTTAGCCTTTGTGATTGGGTCTGACTTTTTGCTGTTAAGAAGCATGTTTTTGTGCCAATTGTTTTTATTTTTTCTTTTGGGTTAATTCCTTTGGGCCTGTTCCATAAAATGGATCAACTGGATCAATGAGTATGAACTATCTCATATGTATGACTTTGCATTTAATCCACATTGTTCCAGAATTCTTGATGGCTATATAGATAGAATAAGCCCAGTGTACAGTGCCACCAGCAACGTGTAAATTCATCTCTTTCACCATACTACTGCCAGAATCATTTTATAAAAAATTATGTATATTTATTTTGTATTGACTGATCTAGAAACTGGAGACATAGAGGCAGGAAGACTAGTTAGCAGACTGCTATGATAGTCAAGGCCTAAGTGAAAAGGCCTGAGTTTTGGTGATGATGAATTTAACAAATTGAAATTCATCGTCAAACATTGACTAAGTACCTACTATGTGCCAGGCACTGTACTAAACATATTAGTACCTGATTAAATCCTCTCAATATGTCTGTAAGATAATGTATTATTGGTCTTGATTATATACATGAGGAAACTGAGCCTTAGCAAACTGATGTGACATACCCTAGGTCACACAAAGATGAAGTTCTAGAGCGGGGGTTCAAACATAGACTTTCGAAGGGGCAGCTGTTGGAAGAATTACAAAACAAAAAAATAATTCAGAGTTTTAGTGACCAAAAAGAAATGGGGGCAAATGGAGGTGGCACAGGTAACTCTGATATTGGGTGCCTGCTCCTCAGTAGTGTTCCGTTGGCTAGTTGGCTAACCATCCAAGTTCTTGGTGGTGTTCTCTCTTCCAGGAGACTTTGATAGTTTCAGCAAAGTGCGGCCTCCAGGAGAAAAGCCAACCATCATCCGTCCCCCAGTGAGGCCTCCAGACCCTCCCTGCCGGGCAGCTACTCCTCAGAAGCCAGAACCAAAGCCCGATATTGTGGCTGGCAATGCAGGGGAAATCCCATCATCTGTGTAAGTAGGGTTGTTCCTCAACCTTGACCTAAGGCCCATCTTAGGTTACCAGGAATGCTTTCAGGATCACCATTATGGTTGTGAAGAGTGTACAGTGCACAACCCTGGGTCCTAGGGGAATGTCACAGACCCAGCCCTGTTTGGAGTGTTCCATGCAACACTGAGAGATTCCCTAAAGCTGAAGAGTTTGAGCCTCAGTCCTGATAGGAGACCCATTTTTCCTAGCTGCCCTGATCTCTGTAGGGTGATAAGATTACTTTCTGTTTTCATATACCCTTGACTCTGGAAATTTTTCTTGTTTTCTTGTTATTGCTACTGGTTTTCAAAGTAATTTCGTGAACAGATTTGTTCATTGTACTTGTGCCTTGAGGCTTTTTTTTAAAAGCAAGGATATGATTTTTTTTTTTAAAGATTTTATGTATTTATTTTTTCCCCCCAAAGCCCCAGTAGATAGTCGTATGTCATAGCTGCACATCCCTCCAGCTGCTGCATGTGGGACGCGGCCCCAGCATGGCCAGAGAAGCGGTGCGCCGGTGCGCGCCCGGGATCCAAACCCGGGCCGCCAGCAGCGGAGCGCGCGCACCCAACCGCTAAGCCACGGGGCCGGCCCAAGGATATGATTTTTAATAATCTTCCAAAATGACTCAGATTCTCCAGAGAGCCTCTTGTAGGGTAGGAGCTGAGGTGACATTCAGCAGGCCTTCCTGAAGCTGGGCCACAAGCCAAGGAACTAGGGATAAAGTGGCTAAGGTGGGGGCCACATAGCAGTTCTTAGGGACCATCCTTCTTTGCCCAGAACTAGCTTGGTTGGCCTCTCCTCAGCCAGTGCCTGGGACCCCTCGTGGTATACTGCCTCCTAGTGTTTCTTTTTCTTGTGTCTCCTGTTTTCCATAATTGTAAAATGAGGAAAATAGGAAAAACAAAGCCTCCACCATTTTGACTAGTTAACTAAGTGTATTTACAAAATGCCAAAAATTATACTTTGAAACCAAAGACTTGTTTTACTTATTTCTCCCAGGAATAGCCTGAATTGGACAACATACTTAGACCATTCTGAACCAACAGGGAACAAGGGGTATCAGCCGTAGCCTTGGGGGGGCCTATAGTTTCTGAGTCACCTTACATTCTGATACTTTGGTTTCTCCTCAGATCCAGGTCCTTTGCAAGCTAAGGCAGGGCCTGGTATTGATGGCCCATCTGATTCATATTCTCTTGTGCTTTCCATTGGCAATTGGTTCTCACACATATTCCAGAGCAACTCATGGGACTTGCTTGGCTTCCATTTGCAGGGTGGCTTCCAGGACCAGGTTCTTTGAAACAGCTTCCCGGAAAACAGGAAGGTAAGAGACAGAGGTGACAGAAGAGAAACCAAATCACTTTTTAGTAAATGCGTCATGAACATCTCATTTGCTCTCATGCAATCTCTTCTTCTATTTCTCTCTAGCTCTGTCTCTGTCTCTGTTTATCTCTTCTCTCCCCCAACTCTCTCTCTGTCTTTCACCCTGTGTCTTTGTCTCTGTACCTGTGTGTCTCTCTGTCTTTGTCACTCTATCTCTCTATTTGTCTCTCTCACACTCTGTTTCTTTCTGTGTCTCTGTCATTCTTAGTCTCTTTCTGTCTCTGTGTTTTTCTACTTATGTCTCTGTTTCTGTCTGTCTATCTCCCTATGTCTTTGTTTTACCCTTTTTCTGTTTCTCTCTCCCCATGTCTCTCTTTCTTTGTCTATCTCTGTATCTGTTGTCTCTTTGCCTTTCTGTTTTTCTATCTCTTTCTCTGCTCCTCTCTCTCTCTCTCTCTCTCATACACACACATAGGCACACACACACAGTACTCACATACTATGTAGTATTGCAAAAACTTTACACTCAATGTAGGAGTCTTTTGTTAGGTTACTTATTTAGACCCTATTATATTCTAAAAGGGCAACTGACAGGCATATATAGAATGCAACACTCTAACGTAAACAGCCTTAGAATAAGTATAGCTCTCATTTCAGAGGTAAATGTTAGACTTAGGTGGTTGTTCTCAAACTGGCTGCACATATAAATCACCTGGAAAAATTTGAGGGAAAAAAAAAACAAACACAGGTGCATGCCTTCCACTCTAGACCCACTAAAAGAGAATCTCCAGGAGTAGGGCCTGGAAATTTGTTTTTTGTTGTCGTTGTTTTATTTCCTTCCTTCCTCCCTCCCTCCCTCCCTTCCTCCCTCCCTTCCTTCCTCCCTTCCTTCCTGTTAGTTTATTTTTAAAATTCCTCAGGTGCTGGTACAGACAGACTGTCCAAGGCCTGGCATTTGGGACCCTTTAGCCTATAACAGCTGGAGGAACGGTTGCCTAGCCTTTAGGGACTTCTGTGAGTCCATGTTGCTTATCAGAGAGTTTGAAATTGTGCTTCTTGATGAGTGACAGGAGTGTGACTCTTCTAGGTGGTCAGTTAAAAGCAGAACAATTTGCCTTTACCAGCAGTGGAGCTGGGGTAGGTTTGACATCATCTAGTCAAAACTGTGAGACCTGACTCACCAGGACATGCTTCTGCAGGACACTGTAGTTGTGCTTGGAAGTCAGCCACAGGGAACCTTAGGCTGAGCCAAATTCTCCTTAGACAATAATTTACCATTTATTTTACCATAACAGGCAAAAGTAAGATCAAGGCCCCAGATATGTCTTACTGATAGAATGAAGATAAAGTTTTCACATAGGACTTTTTTAAAGCAGACTTAATCAAATGTCCACCTTGAGAAAAAAAAAAAAGAAAAATAGAGAGAAAGAGAGACACCTTAATACTTTTAATAAAGTACCCACCTCTGAGGAGGACTACTTCCTGCTTTCTGGTGCTCCTTTCTCCTTACTAGGATAAGCCACATGAGAAATAAGTACCAAGAAAATAGAATGAAGTAAACTAGAATTAACAGAATGAACTGGGTGTATCTAAAGGAGAGCTTTTTAGAGGAGATGATGTCTGAGCTGGGGCCTCAGGGATGAGTGGAAATACAATGAAAAATATGAGGAAATGATCTGTAGCCTTGGACAGGGAACCAAGGCATTGAAAGGGAATATGTAAGAGGCATGAACAAAGTCCAATAGAATCTTTACGGCAGGCTGACTTCCAATAAGGGCAACAATAGCCAAACTGGTGTTGAGAGTGTAGAAAGATTGGTAACCACTATCGGATTTGTCAGCTAGTGCTCAGGGAAGTCTTGGACCAACCACAATATAAAGGGGCTATGGCCAAAGCAGGCACTTCAGGCTGGAGCACCATTCTACATACCCTATATCCAGGCCTCTAGAACCTAGATTAAATCCTGTTCCTTATCCCCAGATTCCATCTTGGCCGGAGTATGAGTAAGACCAAGGTGGGTACACCTGTCCTCCAGTATGTCATGAGCCGCCATCCTAGGTACCCACAGATTCCTCCCACCCAGCTGCCACATAGGGAAAACACCCCTTCTGTCTAGGCCCCGACTTTGTAACCACCTCTTGCATCAGTGCATTTGTATGCTGGTCACTGGTCAAGATCCTCATACTAGCCACAGTCAATCCTATTTGTGGACATTATTGTCAAGCTCTTCTCTCATCTCTAATGAAAATGATGATCTATTTAACTTTTTTGCTTCCCATTTGTACACCTGACTGTAGCCTGACATTTGAATGACCTTATTCCCTCATTCATCTCCCTTCCACAATAATTAAAAAAAATTAAAAACTCAAAAGAAAATAAGAAATGGTACATCAAGAAGAGAAGGGATGAGGGCTGCCCAGTGGTGTAGTGGTTAAGTTCAGCGTGCTCTGCTTCGGCAGCCTGGTTCGCAGGTTCAGACCCTGGGCACAGACCTATACGACTCATCAAGCCATGCTGTGGCAGCATCCCACATACAAAATAGAGGAAGATTGGCACAGATGTTAGCTCAGGGCCACTCTTCCTCAAGAAAAAAGAGGAAGATTGGCAACAGGTGTTAGCTCAGGGCTAATCTTCCTCATCAAGAAAAAAAAAAAAGAAGAAGAGAAGGGAGTGGCATTCACATATACTACAATGTGAATAGTAGCCCTTTGGGAGCGTCCTCAGTATTTGGTGGTGATTGAAACCATGGATGAGAATAAGATCACTCAGGGAGTAGCTGTAAATAGATTTAAGAGAGAAGAGAAAAACAATGCTGAGGATATAGCCCTGGGACCAGCTGTTGTCTGGGATGTTCTGACCATACCCTATGAGGCTTGATTCTCCAGGATTGTCTCTTCCCTCCAGCTGTCCCCAGACAAGGCTGATTTGGGACTGATCTAAGCACATCAAGAGGCTGAGCAAAGCTGGTTTGGTCTTCAAGGCAAAGGAAGATTCATGTTTCACATGGCATTTCCCCTCCTCCTTGTCCTTCTCCCTATTAAAGATAATCACAGAATGTAGTCTTTGGTCTTGGGCCAACTTCTCTGGGCTCCCATAGCCTCCCATAGTCTCCCATAGTCTGGCACTCAAAGGATTGTTCTGTCACCTGAAAGATGTCTTTGTGTCTGGGAGACTGGACTCTCTAATTCTGCCAGAGAGGTAGCCGAACCAATAAGCATGGAGCTAGATGCTTCAAAACATCTGGATGGAATCACTTCCCCATTTTTCATATGACCTCTTTGGCACTGGTCTGGAAGGGTCACCTGTCCCATTGCTTTGCCTTTTCTGTTCTAATTTCTAGAGTCTTAGTGAAATGTCTTTCCTCCTTTACCCACAGTTCTCAAGGCAGACTTCCTGGAGATGAGAGTTGAGGCCTCAGGTATGTAGTCTCCAACCCTGAGTACAGAACCTTGTTACAAATAAGCCTTCTTTATGGGATCTGAGTTTTTGAGGAATGGAAGACCATGTAGGTCCAGAGAGTGGGAACTCACGTCCATGCCTCAGTTCATTATCCTATAATTACATGACCCTTAAAATTACTGCCTTCCGATTCTGAGATTCTCTGTGTTTTTAAGTCTCCTTCCTCTTTCTTTTCTTTCTCTCCCAACCAAACTACAGTGTAGTTTTACAAACTGCCTTTGAATCCAGTTCATTAGGAATCCTAGGCTGTGACATTTTGGGCAAGTACATTTCCTTCTCTGAACCTCAATTTCCCAATCTGTAAAATGAAAAGCTTGGTACCGTCTAACTCTGACATCCTTTGAGTCTATAAGAAGGTCAATAACCTTTCTTTTGGTATTGTAGCAGGTACCAAGAGTCCATTTTAGTATCTATAAAGGGACTTCATTCCTTCAGACTAAATCACTATTTCAGTGTTACCCCCCTGAACCTTCATCCTTAGTCCTTTATATTTGTCTAAGGCAAAGCATTTTCACATCCGTCATCTTATTTGATCCATGTGAAATGCCAGAAATAGGGAGGATAATATGTATTTTAACTCAACAGATTAAGGAACTGAGGTTCAGAGGGGATAATAAGTAACTTGCTAAGGTCACAAGAGTCATGGAGATCATAGAAATTTCTTTCTCTACCTGGGAGTTCTGAATGACTATCAGATTGCTGGCATGACATGAACCAATATATTCATAAATGAGATCCAAGTATCTGGAGCAGAGCTTTCCATGTGCTCCCCAGCCTTCCCTTTCTTCCTGTCACTGCCAGTACTCAGAGGTCTATGGGTAGATAAGCTTTTCCTTATCAGCTCTCATGGAGGTGAAGTCCCAGTAAAAGGAAGTTTGGAGTTATTGTAGGGCCATAAAGGTAGTGGCCATGCTGCAGAGGGTTAATCTCAGAGATCAAGCTTCTGCATCCTCTGCAGGATTTTGGGGGATTAGAGTTGAGGCCAAAGGCACGCAGTTTCCAGCCCTGATTGTAGCACTGTCTTAGGACTGTTTCATGGGATCTGAGTTGTAAGGGGCTTTTCCTGGCCAACCCATGTTGCTCAGAAAATTAGCTCTCAATTATATGGTTAGCTACCTACGAAGAGAGGCCTCACTGCTCAGTGGCTGTTAAGGGCTTGACCACTCCTAGCTAATTCCCTATTCTCTTCTTTCCCTTTCAGGTTTTAAAGCCTTGGCCTCAGGGAACCCTTTCCAGGTTCTGAAAGGGCCTTCTTCAAACCTTTGTGTGCTGAGTCATTTTGTGCTGAAGAGCAGCTCCTTCCTGGCCCTGCACCTTCAAGCTCTGGGATGCTATAAAATAAGGGGTGCATGTCCTAGACACAGGTTTATTTTTCCTTTGTATTCTGTCTTCATTCCCTCAGCTCCTGTTAAGACTGTGAATGGCTGAATTCCCTCAAGCCAGCAGAAACCAGGCTATCCACTGACCTGAGTCGAAGAGGGGAGCTCAGTTTTCAACTCTACTCTGAACTTACTGCCTCCTCAAAAGGCCATCGAACTCTGAAAGATTTGGGGCTGAAGACTAATCTCAGAGGTCTTACCCTGAACTAAAAGCTACTGGAGTTGGGGCCACTGCTTACTCCGGAAGTAGGGGAGTAGGAATGTTTGCTGAACATTGGAGACTCTTAATATGTCTTTTACTGAGGATATGGACCCTGCTGCCATATTGGAGGTGCGGCACTGCAATATATTGCCAATAACCTGTCTACTCCTATGAGAATAGACAGAATGGGTGATGCCCCCACAACCCCTCCATATGGACTCAGGAATGTGGCCTTCCTACTCTTGCATATAGCCCACAAAGCATGTTTTGCATGTCAAAGCCTAGGTCTGTTTGAATTATTCTTCTTCCTGTTTTCTCCTGACAACTTCCCTTTCCAAGTAATCAAGAAAGAAACAAAGCTGAAAACAGTACTTTAAAAAAGGCAGACTGTGTTTGTCCTGCAGGAGTTCCATTTTTGGGTCAAATGGTGGGAAAAATTGTTAAGATGGATTGAGGCCAGGCAGCTGTCACTGTTGCATCCTGCTTGCCTTCTACGGATAAGCTCTTTTATCTCCTGAAAGAAGCAGTTCTTAACCCAGTGTCCATGGATTCAGGAAATTCATGAAGCCTCTGAAATGGTATGCAGAATTCCATGACAATGTGCCTTTTCTGGGGAGATGGTCCATAACATTCTACTGAATTTCAAATGGGCCTATGACCCAATAAAGATTAAGAACCACAGCCCTCAAGATAAAAAACTCTTTTTACACCCCATAATGTGTTTGATTGGAAGGGCCTTTCAAAATCACTTAGTCTACCTACCTAGTTTACCATTGGGGAAACTAAGGCAGAACAAGTTAGCAGCCATGCCTAAACAAGATCTCAGGTCCCTGGGCTCCTATACAAGGTTCTCTCCATTACACCACACTTATTTAGCAAGGGGCCTTATAGTTGCTGGCTCTAGTGGTCATCATTTTGGGGGTTTGGCTTTTACCCTCTTTCTTGAACCTCACGTATTTGCCACCAAATGGAAAATTTCCAGACATAAACTCCTGGTCTTCCTCATTTGCTATCTCATCATTGGAAAGAAACTACAACACAATTGGTGTAGTGAGTCAGAAATCTGAGTAAACATTTCTGATTCTCGTTTGTTGAAGGGAAGCTACTGAAGAAAGTGGCATTGCTTGTATTCCCACGCAGAGGCCTGGGCCACTGCCTGTCTTTAGGGTCTGTGTAACTATAATATGGCCCAGTTTGAGAGAAAGGGCTTTCCTACTTGGACCCTTCTAGCAAGGCCCTGCTAGTGCACTGACTATAGTACTGAGAGAGAGGTGCAGACATAGAGGGGGGAGGTGAGGGGGATGGAGAGGGAGATGGAAGAAGGGGAAGATAAAGAAAGAGAGAGAATGCACGTATGTCTAAACCAACTCTGAGATGCCTTTGGAATAGTGTTACTGAAAGGCAATAGTCACTTTCAAGACTGAACTCTAAACATGGTTTAATGGTGAGTTAGTAACATCTAGGTTAAAAACACTGAGAGCCTTGTGGTAGTAATTGAGTGGAAACTTGATGCCATTCCCAATGAACACATGCCCAGGTGGCCACATTGAACTCTCTCAGCTCTACTCAGTCTCAAAGGCAAAGTTGCTAAGAAACCAGGAGCAAAAGAGCCAAGTGGCCACCATTCTACCTGCTGCTCACCCCAAAAGAGAGTCTCTGTGAGGCCTCCTGGCTTCACCCAGGAAGTGTTCATTGAGCCATGGTCTCGGAGCTGTGGCCTCTCTGCTCTGTCCCATTAGATAACTAGCTAAAGCAAACAGGTGTGCAGATTTTGGCCACAGAAGCAGTGGCCAATGGGGCTTGAGTACCTTTGAAGATGGCAGAATAATAGTTTCACTCTGGCTTTCTTGGGGGGAAATACAACAACCACCACTACAAATATTGAAAAATTATTGAGAACCAGAGAAAGCCACTGCAATCCCAGTGGGATAGGTGTCCCAGAAATGTTACTATGAGTTTGCTTTGTGTTTCCTGGCCTAGGAATCACAGATCAAGAGCCTGGCCTAGAGAGTTGAGACTACCAGTCTGGCTGGAGGCCAGGGAGCAGTGGCTGGCTAGCTCTGCCCCTGCTTTAGTCTATACCCAAAGAATGCCAAAGAATGCACCTCAGTGCCTCCCCTTTCACACTCTGATTTAAAGAGCAAAAGCTTCTGTGGTGAGGCACACTGTCATGGAATGAGACTGGCTTGACCCAGGCTTGATGGATGGATAGTCATTCAGAAGAGGCTGTGGGAAGGGGGTGATAATTGAAGAGTGGCAACTATAGGAAATTATCAGCAGGTTAGAGAAATTCGCAATGGATGAACTGTAAATCTTGAACTGACAGTAATAACATTCATTAAGCATCTACTAAGTGCTAGGTTCTTCATATATATTATCTCATTTAGTCCTTACAACAATCATGCAGGTAGATGCTATTCTCCTCATTTTATAGATAAAGGATTTATGGCCTAGGGGGCTAAAGTAACTGGCTCAAGGTCACACAGAAAGTAACAGAACTGTGATTCAAATCCAGGCCTTTCTGACTCTGCACCCCATGCTGTTTTCCCTTTGTCACACAGAGGCCACATTACTGGAGCTGGCATGACTCTTTGACTCTTGCCTGCCTAACAAAATATTAAAAGGCAAGCATTTGAGGGGAAGGAGGAAGATACAGGTCCAGTCTACAGGAGAACAAAAACTGGGCTGGAAGAGATTTCTAAATTGGGCTTTCTCCTCACCTTCAGTGTACCAATTTGGTAATGTTTTAAAAAGGATCATTTAATTTTACCTTGTGAAATGAAGGATTTATTTTTTAGTTGGTAGTTGTTAAGTCCTTGACTTGTCTGTTTTTCAAAGATAAAAAGGTCCTTGTACGTGTCTGTGTACTTCACCAAGGTTGTAGCATGTGCAGTTTCAGCCCAAGAAACTGGCAACATTCACAAGCAGTTTCAGAAGCAGAAAAGGTCTTCTTGCCTCTGTGGTACTTGATACCTTGGGGTCAAATCCCTACAAAGTTTTTCAGTGGTGATAGTAAAAGTTAAAGACATGATTTAGAATAAGAAATATTATTGAAGTTTTTGTTTAAAAAAAGGTTGGGGGAGTGGCTGGCCCCATGGCTAAGGTTCCGCACACTCTGCTTTGGTGGCCTGGGTTCTCGGAGTTCTTGGATCCCAGGTGCAGACCTACTCCACTCATAAGCCATGCTGTGGAGGCATCCCACATACAAAGTGGAGAAATATTGGCACAGATGTTAGCTCAGGGCAAATCTTCCTCACCAAAAAAAAAAAAAAGATGGGGAGAGTTGTCCAGCCACTCAGGGGTGAAACTTAGCATCTGATATCAATAATAAAAAAAGTGTCATGTAGAGCATTTCTAAAATAATTGGCTAAAATCATGGGGAAGTATCTTTCCCTTTTCAAGAAGTTCTTTGGTTCTGTAATAACTAGAACAAATAAAGTAGTAGAGGAAGAAGTATTTCCATGACTAGAAAAAAAATTGCTTTTGAGAGAATGTAGATCGATGATACTATTTTTAATGTAGCTGCAGACAAATGGCCTTGCCACATTACAAGCTTAGAAAAAGCTTTAGAAACATTTAAAAATTGCAGAGAAGCAAGATACCTTGAAGAGATGTTGATGAAGAAAACCCTTCATTTTCATAAGGAAAAGGAGCACTTGATACCGAGGACATAAATAGATGCTGGAAAGACTGCCTGTGTGAACTATATATGTAACATCAAAACAAAAAAGTATGAGATCTTGGGGTCCATTCATGTGATTTGCAATAAAGTATGCAGATTGTCTGGTATTAATGAGTTCCATCTGCAGTTTTGTCATGGAAACAATCTTTGAGCGTATTAGGCATGATGGTGCAGCCACCACGCAATGCTCACATTGCCTTCTGCAATTCTAAGGAAACCTAGGCACAGAATCTTTTTGCACCTAGGAATCTCAATCTACAGTGTACTTTGCACCAAGACGTTGTCATTCCCTCAGGCCTCACAACATTACTCCATGATAGGTGATGGCCCTATTTTATAGATAGATAAGGAAACTTTAGGCGCAGGGAGATGAGAAAGGATTTGCCAAAATCACACAGCTAGGGATTGGTAAAAATCCAGTACTGGAAGCTACAGAGGCCTTCCTGCTTCTAATACACCTCACTACCCCCAGTAGTAAAGGAATCCCAACGATAAATGGAGAAGATGCTTAGAAATGAGATTGGTGGAAACAACATCTGCAAGTCTTGCTACTCCAAACATGGTCCATTGTCAGCCTCAGCATCAGCGTTACCTGGGAGCTTGTTAGAAATGAAGATTCTTGGGCCCCATTGCAGACATCTGAAATCAGAATCTGTATTTTAATAAGATCTCCAGGAGATCTCTGTGCACATTAAAGTTTGAGAAGCACTGATATAAGTCATTTGAGATGACAAAGCAGGTTGAGGAAGGAGACCTCTCAGTGAGGCAAAGACCAAAAATGGTGAATGAGGCCAATTTGGTATGTTGGGAGTGTTTGCAAAGATTGTGTCCATAGCTACCTGCTTCTTACACTGCTCTGTACATGGCCTTGTATTTTGATGACATATAAATGAGGTTTCTCCACTTCAAAGAATAGTGAAACCAGCCTAGAGAATGAGAAGACTGAAAGTGACTTGACTTGCAAATCTCTGAGCATCAAAGGCAGTGGGAAGGCAACATGGGGCAGTGAAAAGAGCTCCTTTCAGGAGCCCTGGGGGTCCAGATTCACCTCTGTCACTGCCTTTCTGTAATACTGAGTACATCCCTCCCCACTCTAAGTCTCAAATTGTCTGTCTTCAAACCAGGTAGTCTCAAAGGGCCTTTTCAGCTTTGACGTTCTGTTATTCTCAGCTGTGAATTTTACTACAGCCTACATTGTAGTGAAAACATGGACAACTCTACTGGGTTTTGTCTGACCATAGTTTAGCAACTTCAGTTCACATAAGAAGGAATGTTCTGGGAGGAAATCTCACAATCATGACAAAACAACATTAATGGGAACTGCAAGAAACTGGGAGAGGCATGACTTTAGTTAACCAGGTTAAAATTGTCCAGTATTTTAATTAAAGTATAGCAAGGCATCCAGACTGCTTTGAGAACCAGCTGCTTCAAACCACATACTTTGGAATCAACTCTTGTATCTTGAATAGGGCTTACTTTGCACAATTTAATAA